CCCCCAAATCTCCAGGAATTTCCCCAGCCAGAGCTGGCAACCCTACATGAATGCAAAAATAGTGGCCGCTCAGACTTACAGCATACTTTCTGTCTACAGGCTTCCTCTTTGGAAAATGAGGCCAAACGGGGCTACTGAGTAAACAAAGTATTTTGATTCCATGCTGAAGTGATCTATTTTCTCCGGGCGCAATAGTACACGCAGTAGGAACTCGTTGGATTTTAATTACAAGGAAGGAGTGGTAGAATGTTTTAGTTCCATCATCAACATTTCCTAGCCTTAAGGGATGTATGGTTTATTCTTCTGCATAGGGAAATTGTATACATAATTTTCATTAGCATGAATAGAAGTCACTTTGCCTGCCTTATCCTATTGTGTGTTGATTAGAGAAGGCACTGTTCTACTCTGGAATCCATCTTAAACATAAAGAAACATTATTTCTTTGTATATTTTTGTTGAGGCCCATATCCTGGTTGTGTTAACTGATGTTGTTAAAAGAAATTCTCTTGATTCCTCTTAACCTAATTTCTCCTTGAAATCCAACAATCCATTGTTTTCCCTCATTTTAGGAATTTGGAGTGTTTCTAATTAATTTGAAGAGAGCTGGGGCAGGAAGGGAGGTTCTGCAAAAATCCACAATTTCATTCTGTACCTTCTCAGAGGCAGGCAACGTCTCCCCAGCCTTCCTATTCTCCTGCTAGAACATCACCCTGTGGTGTATAACATAAGACAAGGGTTGGAATTATAAAAGGGTGTACTGATTTCTCTACAAAGACAAATAAAAGAGAAATGGCTCTCTTAAAAGAGAAAGAACAGAGTAATCAATGGCTATATCTAAGAAAGTGAATTTTCGAAAAAGAAATTCCCCTCCCCATAACAATGCTAGTGTTAACCTTATATGAAAAAGGCAGGAAGTGATTTGTTTTAGAGAGAATGCTGCATTGGCCCATTGGTTGGGGTTCTTTCATATGAAGACTGGCCCAAGGTCGGCTTTGAGCATACTAACACCCTTTGACTGACATAACTTGGAATATGTGATCAGTCAGGAACTGCCCATAAACTGGAATGGCTATTCTGAAGCTCTAACTCATTGCCCAGCAAAAAGAACCAATTGGTTTTCCCCAGTGCTGATCAGAAATGGTAACAACCCCAAACTCACTAGAATCCCATTTTGCTGGACACAAGTAACAGATTACTATCTGAAAATATAATCCCAGCTCAACATTTGTCAGATGCTTTGCAATTTTACTTTACTTTCAGAGGGTAGCCATGTTGGTTTGTAGTAGAACGGCTGGATTCAAGTCCAGCAGCACCTTAGAGAACAACAAAATTTACTTGTGAATTTCGTGAACGGCAGAAGCAAATTTTCTCTTTCTGTTTAAGACAGGAGGGTGGATTTGAGCATTTAGTACATAGTTGCTTTGATTGGAATCTTCCATGCCAGACTTTATTGTTTAGAAAAGGAAGGGTCTGCTCACTAAAAATGAGTTATAAGTCTTGTGTGAGAAGTGGTCTCTGTGAGGTCATGTGACCTGTCCTGCTAGCATTAACCTCTAAAACGTTGAGGGCATAGAAGGTATGATATACAACATAGTTGTGCCAGTCAGGCATCTGCAGGCAAGAATCAAACACATGTGCTGGTAGAGTCATAACAAAACTAAGAAGACTGATAACTTCCATGTCTTGTGACAGAGTGAGACCTTTGTAACCTATTCTGAACATAATTCAAGTTACTGTTTAAAAAGATTACAATTAAGGACATAGTTGAAACTTAGCACAATGTTAATGGTCCACATAGGTACATACCATTCCAAGGCATTTTTGGGTAGATAGACTGCAATGTTTGAAAGAAGACATTTCTTTTAAAATTCCCTATAGTACAGTACTGCTGTATTTCTAATATGTGTGTGCTATAAATTCTAAAGTACATGTATAAATGTAGAGGGAAAAGTATTTTCTTCCTGTGAAAGAAGATCACTTTTTACATAGTTGCTTTGGTGTGTAAACTTGGTTATGGACCCAATCCCCTTCTCCTTTTTTTATGGATCTGTGAGATGAAGAAAAAATGTACCCAACCATGTAGAATGCTGTGGCATGCAAACAGTACCATCCTAACCAGAGTTAAAGGTAAAGGTTCCCTTGGTCGAAAGCCAGTCGAGTCCGACTCTAGGGTTGCGGTGCTCATCTCCGTTTCAAAGCCGAAGAGCCAGCGTTGTCCGAAGACGTTTCCGTGGTCATGTGGCCGGCATGACTAAACAGCAAGGCGCACGGAACGCTGTTACCTTCCCACCGAAGTGGTACATATTTATCTACTTGCAGTTTCTTGCTTTCGAACTGCTAGGTTGGCAGGAGCTGGAACTAGAGATGGGAGCTCACTCTGTCATGCGGCACCCAGGTCTCGAACTGCTGAACTACTGACCTTCCACAGCCTGCAGTTCAGCATCTTAACCACTTGAGCCACCGCAGCTCTGTTTAGGATGGTACTGTTAATCTGGATGGTGCAACCGTTGGATGGATTCATGGTTGGTTGAAAAATCATACCCAACGAGTGCTCGTAAATGGCTCTGCATCTACGTGGAGGGAAGTCTCGAGTGGAGTGCCACAGGGCTCGGTCCTAGGCCTGGTGTTGTTCAATGTTTTTATAAATGACCTGGAGGAAGCCATAGAGGGGATGCTTATCACATTTACAGATGACACGAAGCTGGGTGGGATTACTAATTCTGAAGAAGACAGAGTCAGGATTCAATATGATCTAGATAGGCTGGAACAGTGGGCTGAGACAAATAAAATAAATTTCAATAGATATAAGTGCAAAGTCCTACACTTAGGTACAAAAATATCAAAGGCACAGATATAGAATGGGAGGGACTTGGCTTGACAGCAGCACATCTGAAAGGGATCTAGGTGTTCTGGCTGATCACAAGCTAAACGTGAGCCTGCAGTGCGATGTGGCTGTGAAGAAAGCTAATGCAATCTTAGGATGCATTAACAGAAGCATTGTGTCCAGATCAAGGGAGGTGGTAGTTCCGCTCTATTCTGCTATGGTCAGGCCTCATCTGGAGTACGGTGTCCAGTTTTGGGCACCACATTTTAGGAAGGATGTTGACAAGCTTGAGCGTGTCCAGAAGAGGACAACCAGGATGATAAGAGGGTTGGAATCCAAGTCTTATGAGGAAAGGCTGAAAGAGTTGGGTACGTTTAGCCTGGGAAAGAGAAGGCTTAGAGGGGACATGATTGCAGTCTTCAAGTATTTGAAGGGCTGTCATGTAGAAGATGGAGCAGATTTATTCTCTGTTGCTCCGGATTGCAAGACTAGATCTAATGGGTGGAAATGACAAGGGAGTCGTTACCGGCTAAATATCAGGAGAAACTTCCTAACTGTAAGAGTGGTTGAGCAGTGGAACTAGGGTTGCCAAGTGCTTATCTGTTCCGGAGCGGGGGAGTCTAGCCTTGCTCCGGGAGTCTTTGCGTGCACCGCAAGCACATCACATGGAAGTGACACAAGCACGTCGGGGACGTTGGGGACAGGGCCAGAATCATCCGAGGGAAAACCACAGAGTTTTCCCTCGGATAATTGTGGCCCTGCCCCCAACATCCCCGACGTGCTTGCATCACTTCCGTGTGACGTGCTTTGGGGGTGGGGTTCCCCCCGGGGCCCCGATCCGGCAGCGGATCTGAGAGGCACACATGGGCACAAGGGCCTGACTGGCAGTCAAAGTGCTGACCACATGCACCAGCCCTGCTACAAGCCATATATGTCCTTCCCCTTAAAAAAAACAGAGGCCAGACTTGAGCTTACAGACCCCACATCCAAGACCAACCTCCTAGGACACTGGGCCAGGAAGACAGATACAAAGGAGGCATGCCTTCGGACATTAAACACCCCACTGCAGTCCCGATTTCACCACCAGACATTAGGGGCCAGGCAAAGAACATTGCAAAGCGAGGCCTGGCTCAGTGGAGAGGCACAAGGATAGCATGGCCAGAGCTCCTGGTTTGATTCTCATATGGGGAATGGCCAGAGGCAAGCAAAAGTCTTGGGACTGATGTTTTGCCAGAAAAGGTGGAACAGGATGGCCCAGCTGATGAGCTGTCCCAGACAGCAGTCATTTTCGCCGAGACACCTCTTCACATTCCCTCTATGTTGCTCCTCTGAGCTGTGTCTGAGCAGGAAGGGGATAGGGACCACAGAGCCGTGGCCATGTCTGTCTGTTGCCACTATCTGTAAGAGTGAGAAGCAGCCCATTAAAGCTCCTAGGGAGGCCCAGACCCCACCTTAGAGATGCCAGATCCCCTGATGGGGGTCCCCCATTTTCAGGCCCCACTTTTCCACTGCTGGCCAGCTGGCTGGCGGGGGGAATTACACTCCCAAACAGGGAAGGATGGGAAATTAAATGTGATGTGTCTACGTGACCCAAAAGTGACATAGGTATGTTGGGGGCATTGGGGGGGGGCGATGCTCTGGTTTTTGGGCAAAACTCTATGGTAGAAGCTAATTCTACCATAGATTTTTGCCCCAAAACCAGAGTGTCCATTCCCGACATCCCTGACATGCCTATTTCACTTCCGGGTCACACAGGCACATCATATTTATTTTCAGCATTCCTCCCTGTTCCCAGTAAGTTCACCCCTCACTGGCAGTTTGGAGGGACCTGGCAACCCTACCCAACCTCCAGCTGGGAACCAGGAGGAGGCTCCAGCCACCAGGCCCAACCTCCCTTATCAGCTCCAGTACCACACTCCAATGTGCCAAGCCACATTTTTATGGCCACATTTCAGTTCAGCATGGCCATAGCCTCTCACATAGAGAAATATGAAAATTCTTTTGAATATCACAAGTATTTCTGCTGCCAGTGTCTTCTGTGAATTGATTCTTCTCATGTACACATCTTGTCCTTTTAATAATTTTGTACTTTCTTAGTGTACTGTTTCTTTAGCACTTTCTATTCTTTCTTTTTTCATTAATTGCAGGTGGTTCTGTGAAGGCAAAGAGCTAAAAAATTCTCCTGATATTCAGATCTGTTGTGAAAACGGAGGAGTCCATAGACTAATTATATCAGAAGCCTTTGAGGACGACACAGGGCGCTATTGTTGTCTTGCCTCAAACTCAGTTGGATCTGACTCTACATCTGCAGAAGTATTTGTTGAAGGTGAGAGAGCATGACAACTAATGAGGCCACACACATTATATGCATTATGTACAGATTCCAAGAGATTCACAGTAATAGCCCTAACTTATAAAGGGATGTAAGTTGCAGTGGGAGGCATGTAGCTGTATCCTGTATCCATTGCTTGCCTGGACCAGGTGGTCTCTGTGATTCTGTAGGGCTCAAACAGTCTAATCTTTGACATGAAATCTATAAAATTGTGATATCTGGGTGTAAGGGTTTGAAAACAGTGATTCTACAAAAAAAAAAAACCCTTTCAACTGGTGAATGTTTGTGCTGCAAACATAATTGTAAAGGGATGGAAAAGTTTGTTTTTCTTTAACTTATATTTATTTATTTTTATTTATTTATGTTTCACATTTATATCCCGCCCATCCTGTAAACACGCTTTGTATTGAAGTCCAGCTGATGACCATGATGGCATGAGCTTCTCTTTTTTTTGGTCTACTTGCAGGTGCCAGTTCCTCTGATTCTGACAGTGAAATTTTCAAATCAAACTCTGGAGCCATGCCACAGTAAGTTTACATAGTACAGCCCTTAGTTACACACTGTTTCTAGGATGGTCTGGAGGGATTATTGCAAAGCTGTTCTGCTTCACCTCTTCTTCCTACAGTCACAGCATGGGAAAAAGACAACCCAGTGTTAATTAATGATTAGGCCATGTTAAAATGCCGCATTGAACCTTGGACATGGGGAAACAGAGGTGGATTTTCATTCACAGTCTCCATTTGGATAGCCAGTTAGAAAGTCTACGCTGGCTGAATCTTCAAAGCAAATTTGATTTACAGACACAGTCAGGAAGGTTTTCTGTACAGCATTATCTATTTCCATTAATGTCACTTAGTTCTACATAACAAAAACCATTCTCGTGTCAGTGACACCTGAAATTCTGCGTATTTGAAAATCTAGGTATGTAGCATATCAGTGTGTGTGACTTTTTGTTGAAACTTAGTTTGTGCTCTTTCTTATCTATATATTTGCTCCTGTTTGGGATTTATATGGCCTCTTTCACATTATCATTCTAAACTGGATGTTATGAGTAAAGCAATAGAGGGATGGGGGTTTCATATAGCAAATTTAATCCCATTAATAAGCCATTCCCAAAGTGCTATGGCCATTTCAAGCTGCACCACTTTCCCCCTGCCCATTTTCACCATGCAATCTTCCTTGCCCTTTTTTCTGAATGTTCTAAGTTGAGTGCTATAGCACTAAACCAATATAGTCTGAAGTGCTATATATAGTGCTATAGCACTCAATTTAGGACGTTTGAAGAAAAACGGTGAGGAAGATCATGTGGCAAAAAAAGGGCAGGGGGAAAGCAGCATTGTAGGAAGCTCTATGGGCATTTTACACAGCACACCACGGCTATTCAGAAGCACAACGAAGAGGTAAAAATGAAAGAAAGCAGTTTCCCTCAAAAACAGTTCAGCCCAGCTTTGCCATCGGGGTGCAAATGGCTTTGTATGAACAGGCAAATAAAATCTGTTAGCAGCCAGTTGCTAAAACGGTTGTGTCTGAACTGACACAAAAAAATCCATTAGCAACCTGCTACTGAAACGGATTACAAAGGCTGTCTGAAAGGGGCCAAACTCTTTGAAAATGAGTGATTCCAGTCTGTGAAGGCAGGCCTCTAGAGGAAAATGAGTAGTATATCTTTATAAGGATATCTTAATTTTATTTCAATGGGTTTTTGTTTGTTTGCTAAGGGAGAAGACAAGCATTTTTTCATAAATAAAAACTTTTTTTTTAAAGAAAGAGTAGACTTAAAACTTCAGTTTATAGATCTCTCTGCTGCATGTGAAGAGTAACCAATGGAAATGCTTCTATTTCCACACCTGAATAGCTGTGGGGAAGGGAAGTAATGCACTTCTGCTGACTGGTTAAATCCCCTGCTTCCTGAATGGTTGTCCAACAGCCTCTCAATTTATCCCAATGAATTGTCCCAAGGATAAAATTAAATAAGATTATATAGTATGAACAAGCAACTGGAGGCCTTGGAGCCACATCTAGCAGCCTAAAGAGTACCGGTTACCCCTTGCCAATAGGCAACCCAGAGGCGAAAGAAATAAAGAGAACAATTGGTACATGGGACATTGGCACTCCATGGTGCTGGAAGTGTGTGTGTGTGTGTCTTGTCCACCAAGCTGCATTCTTTCACAGCAAGACTACTTCCTAACAGCAGTATATGCTAACCTGTCTCCCACCCCATCAGGGAGAGGGCAATAAATGAAACATGATTATCAAGATGAGCAATTCAGATCATGACAGCCATAGAAGATGCTTAGTCAAAAGCCACATGTGAGGTTCAGCAAATGATATATGAGTTGTCTTTAGTGTGAGTTAGCAGTAGTGTGCCAGAAAGAAAAACCCTGTTCACACTAGCAACACATTGGTTGGATGCACGCAGTTGCATTGCTATATGAAGACAGGACTGGAAGCTATCAGTGGGCTAGATCACTTCTGTGGCTGTCATGGGCTACCATGGTCATGCGAACAGGCCGTATAGGAGGGAGGCAATCATAGGAACATTGTCTGACTTTTTTCCTTCTTTATGCAGGGCCCAGAAGAAAAGTACTTCTGTTTCTTTAACAATAGGATCGTCTGCTCCAAAGGCTGGGATCACTACAGCAGTAATCCAACCTATCTCAGTGCCTAATCAGCAAGTATGTAGATGTCACATTTTAACTTAGTTATGTTCTGGGTAACTTGTGACACAGACGTTTGTAAATAAATGAAATGACTTGCAACTATTCCAGCTTGAATTCCTTGTTAGATGCAATTGCTCCACAAAGTCTTCCCTAGAAAACAAAACCCTTTTTGTGGAATGTGATTTTTAAAAATTCTACCTTTACAACCTACCTAGTCCTTTGTACTAAACTGCTTATTTTATCTTAGTAGCATGGGAAATGCTGTAACCTCTTATGCCATCTTGGCAATTCCAGGCCACATCATACCACATTGCTTTGCCAGAGATCGCAGGGGAACTCTGCTGATGTTGGGAGGGGCTGTTTCATAGGCTCCTCCCACATAGCCTGGAAATGTCAGCATTAGCAGAGCAGCGGGGGGGGGATACAGCAGCTACCATGCCACTAAGGTAGGTGTCCCCAACCTCTTTGCATCTTGGGACACTTTTGGAATTTTGAGAATATGGAGCAAATGCCCCAACAAAATGGCTGCTGTGGGGAATGAATTTAATCACAAAGCATTGAGAGGTTATATAAAGCATTAGGAGGTTCCAAAGCAAGCATCCTCCTGAGATGGTGCTCCCCAAAGTGATATCTCCTGGACTCTTCTGTACCTCCTGTACTATTGAAGTGGAAGGAGGTCAGGACTGGCTCTTCACTTTGGAGAAGAGATGTTTTGGGGGAGAAGCAACTGGGTACCATAAAATGTACTGGCTGAATAACACAAAGTGGAATTACAATAAAGATGTCTTGGTTTTACCTTCATGTGGTCTGTATTCACATTTCTCTTATCATTCTGGAATAATTTCAACATCCCCTTACTAGAAATTTGGATTTGTACAGCATCAAACAGAGTATTTATTAGGGACGGGCACAAATTTTGCCCTGTTCATGATTCGTGAACTGAAGTTAATGATGGGTCTACTGTCACGAACTTCCACTAACTTTTAAAGCAGTTTGAGGTGGTTCATGGATAGAACAGAAAGCAGGGGTTTAAAGGGACTCTGAGTCCCTTTAAATCCCTGCTTTCTGTTCCCCATGAAAGCCACAAGAACAACTGAGCAGTGGGGAGGCACTGCCAGGTTTGGTTTGGTTTGCGGTTCGGTTCATGGTTCGTCCATGAACCGACAGGAATCACATTTTTCTTGGTTGTGCACATCCCTAGTGTTTATAGTATTAAATAGCAATAGCTGCATATTTAATTTTTGGAATAAAATGTTCAATAAATAAAACAAAAAATTAGTAGCAAGGTCATATTCTGTGCACTCCCATTTAAAATTAGGTTTGTTTATCGTAGGCAGCTGAGTATATTTTGTGTTTAAATTATGTTTACTTTTCCCAATTTCAGTATATGTGCTGCTGAAGCGAGCACAAATTGTGTTTACTTTTGCGTTTATATAAGTTGCCTTATGAATAATTTGAATGGAAAGGTAGCATATGCATATTTAATTGCATCTCACAGATCTGTTCTAATAATGGTAATGCCTTCTTCCGATGCAAGGTGTCTTTTGTCTGATGAAGAAGACCCTCTTGCATCAAGAGGAAAGAGCTATCATCAGTGAATGGTGTTAGCGAGATTCAGACTTATATCTGGCCAAACTGACCAGTTTTTCTGCAGTTGGGTTGTTTATTTTTATCCTTTAGACCCAGTAATTTGGCTCTCTACAAGGCTTTAAAGTCAAAAATTAAAAATACAATAAACAGAAAAACTACAAAATAGGAAATATATGAGAGTTTAAGCCAAAATACTAGCTTTAAAAGGGGGGGAGGTATGCTGTTTTGGGCATTGTGTGTGTAAATGGGCTAGACTGTTTTTGAATGCAATATATTATTACTAATGATACCCCTGTGTCCTGCAAATACTTGCATCTTTCTTTTTTTAGGTCCAAAGTCCTACTTCATACCTCTACAGATTAGATGGATCTAAACCCAGTCATGCTGTGCCTATTTTTACAAAGGTATGGTTTCTCCTCTGAGATTCTCATAGAACGAATACAGGATCTAATAGCAAAAACATCTTTAGTACATGGATCACATAAAGATCATATTAAAAATTAATGCTGTTCCTTTTTTTAAGGAAAGTCTCTTTTATGTACTGGTTATTTTCTATTTCTTGTACTGTAAGAGACAGAGTTTATGTATTTTAGTGATTTTTTGTTTACTAATTAATCTTCTGTTCCTGGTTATAAAATCCTCATCATATGGGTAACAGTGAAGATGTATCCTCCTGGTTGTCTTATATGCCCCTGGAAGGTCT